GTCCGTGTCCTGCGCCCTACGCCTTACACACCATGCCGAGCAAGGAGGAGCGCCGGCTAGCTTGGCTTGCGGCATTGAAACGAAAATATCCTCTAAAGAAAGTTTATGTTTTCTCTTTTCATTTCGTCGATAAAAAGCCCACGGACCTGCATCCCGATCCGGAGCTTTATCTGGGCTACGACCGACCTCCGCCCAAGAAGAGGCGTAAGATAGTCCGTGGCCGTGCAACTGAAACGGCTCAGCAGCAACAACAACAACAATATGGACCTGGTAAGTTATTTCTTGTTTTACATATATTGTTATTTTCTGTTTTACATATATTGTGTGTGGTTCTGTAGCAGAGAACTTACAAGTAAAACAAACAATACTTAAATTATTCACTTATGTTACAGCTGTTAATCTCAAACAGGTAAACGTAATTATAACTTCAACCAATGGATGGTAACATTAACAGCATGAATTACAATTGTACTTAGGTACAATTTCGAGGTACATTTACTTTTTATTTCCATTTTTTTTTATAATTTATACTTCCACTTCACTAACAGTACATCTCAGAGGCAAAACATTGTACATTTTACTCCACTACAGCTTTAGTTACTAGTTACCTTGCAGATTTAATTATCAATACAAAACATACATTAACTGGTAAATTATGATGTATTGTTATAGGTTAAGCTACCCAGCAGCATATAAAGTAATAAAATTCAGCCCACCTTTACCAGCTGCACCATTAAATTTATGAACAAATTTATGCATTACTAATTACAGTCCAATGGTATGATTATGAAATGGGCAATTCTGCATGAGTATTTTTACATTTGGTACTTCAAGACCAGTTTATTTTGATGCCAATACTTTTGTACTTTTACTTAGGTAAAATGTTTAATGCAATGCCCTCTACTGGGTTCAACATGTGACATGTTATACTTGCTTGTCTACAGTGGTTACTATCCTAGTGTGTAACTTATATAAAACGAAAAAATGCTTTTTTGTTTTATCTATGACTTCCATATGTATCCAGCACCCAGCCTAATGGACATTGGAATGTGCGTGTCTCTGTTTTTGACATGTTACTAGTGTGTAACTTAGCCATACTTTTTTTCAGACTGTACACCTGACTTCTCTTCAGCTGCCTCAGACCAGACCAGGAGCTCAAGTCCTGCACATCCCCCTGAACCACAGATGCGCTCGGTCCATACACAGTGGGCGGACCCTGCACGACAGGATCATGATTATTGCCAGACGGCCAGCAGAAAAGACGTGCAGGATAAGATGACTCAGTGTGATGAGATTGGCTACTTCCTGCTTCAAAATGATGCTGATGCTTTGCTCTACACTGGTATATCCCAAGAAACATTTAACATTCTTGTGTCAGCTTTGGAAGGGTATGCCAATAATTCATTTACAATGTCTGTGCGAGATCAAGTTCTCATGACACTTATGAAATTAAAGACCAACCGTGTAGTAGGTGATCTGAGTAGACAGTTTCATGTATCACTGAGCATGGCTAGCAAAATAATCTCATATTGGATTGACAAACTAGAGGAAGTTTTGCGACCTCTAATTCCATGGCTTCCAAAAGAAACTATTCGTGCAACCATGCCTGCAGCTTTTAAGAGTAACTTCCCTAATACAACATGCATTGTGGACTGCAGTGAAAGCCTCTTACAGAAACCCAAAAATCTTGATTCAAGAGGGGAATCATACAGCCATTATTATTCACATAACACAGTGAAATACCTGGTAGCGGTTGCCCCATGTGGACTAATTATGTTCATTTCTCCAGCATATGGAGGGCGATGCAGTGACAAATTCATCACCATGGACTCAGGCATATTGGACTAC